TATTCCCCTCCCAACAGCACCACCATTTCTCCCCTTCACTGCGTCTATTTGATGTGTCCGCAGTGGATTTGGATCCTCGGGGGAACAGTAGGAGGAGCTCTGGAAAAGCTTTGATTGTTTAGGAGGACCCAGTGTGTGTTTGAAAGATGTGCGAGTGGTGGGACGGACATCCTTCTCTTCCTATGGACCAATGCATCTTTATTGCAGGCCGTCAGATTGGTCATTCTGGAGGCTGCTCCGCCGCTGGCTCCACCCCCGCCGTCTCAGTTTCCCGTCCCTTCTTATAAATTCCCGTTCGCCTTTGTCTTTCAGGCTTGACTAATTATCCTTGTTTGTCTCTCTTTATTTGAATTCAGTCATGTGTTCTTGACTCCGTGGGCTGGGTTTAGGAGAATCATTCCGCCATTTGCCACTTAATTAAGTCAGGGTCAGGATCCATTGCTCAACGGAGAGCTGAAAGGACAGAGCTCTAATAGAATTATAAAAAGAGGCCTTTTCTCTACTGTTAGGGCTGCCTTTATGTAGGTGGGCTCTGCGTGGTCAAATGAAAGGAAACACCAGCTCTGGACAGGAGCCCATTTCCACTTTAGACTCATTTTGATGTTTGCCCAGGATTTCTTTCACGTTAAATCCAATGATTGAAAGTTAAACAATGATCATAGGCTTTGAGATACCCCTGAATGATGGAGGAAGTTTAGGGGGGCGACCCAAACACCGCTTGTTTTTAGTTACAAGAGACACACAGGCATTTTTATTGGGAACTTTAAGCTGCCCTCTGTCCCCGGAGCAACAGAGAAATTTAGAACAAGTATGTGCTCAAAGAAGGGTGGGGAAATCGGTGTGTGTGTGTGTGTAAGAGTTACCATCAGTTCAATTTCCTAAATATCCCCCTGTGCTGTGAAAATGCACTCTCCTTTCCCTCCCCTTCTCCTCTGTCCTGGCGCTTTGACATGCTAAATCTGCTGATTTTATTTTTCTTCCTCCTGCGGTGAGGAAGTGTCCTTTTCAAGGGTCTCAATTTTCCCCCTGACTGTCTAAACCCTACCTCTGTTTGGATTGTTTTTCTATTTCAAACAAAAGACAGAGGCAGGATTACCATTTCACTTCCTTTCACACTTGCTCTTTCAAGTGGCAGCAGTTTAGGTTTTATTTAAAAAAACCACTGCCCGGCTTCTTTTTGTTATTGTTTTATTGTAGAAGTGTAAAAAGAGCTGTGGTTGAATGTAGATCCCGGCATAAGCAGTGAGTGGGGCTTTTTTTTCCTCCCTGCAGGCCTCCGGGGCTGATTTGGTAGCGGGGGCTAACAAAGTGTCCTCAGGGCTCCTTTCTGAGATGTTGACGTCTTCTTAATGGCTCTCCTCAGCCTTTTTGTTTCACATCTTGGTGCTAACTTTCTGCCTCATTTAGCTCATATCAATTCACTGGGCTCTACAGATTCAGCATCTCATTCATGGTCTAGCTCTTTGAAGCAAACTTTGGACAACAGCTCTAAGTGATAGTTTTCAGCTTAGATTTTTTGGTATATGTTAAACATTTTGCCTTGAGGATTTCAACACGTTTTTTTATAAATACTTTATGCCGTTTGGCAGTTAAAAAACTAAACACTTTTTTTTTTTCAAAGAGTCCACCGGAAATAAGAGGGGAGGGCAGGACGGCCCCTTCCTGTTCTGAGCAGTCCGCTGGTTTAAGGCCAATTGATTTGCTAACAGGCTTGTCCACACATAATGACTGAGTGGGGATTGATGGAGGTCTTACACCATAAAACTCTGAGTCGCTGCAATTGCCTGCCATTAGAGCTGTATTGTTGTTCACATAATACCCTCACCCTTAAGAAAAGATTGTCTTATGGTGCCGCGGCGTAAAGGACTTTTCTCCTCCACATTTTCCTTGAGGTCATAACAGAAAATGCACCCATATGCTTCTAAATGCTTTAAGGGTGTTTTAAGATGTGGGGTTAAGTTGCTTTATGAGCTTCCGGTGGCGTTGTGCAGTTAATCAATGTGCGCCGGGGTGCTGATGAAGACCCTCGCTCCTCCATCACATCTTAACTCCTGCAGTTAGGGCCGGTGCCAGCCTGCTCGGTGAGAGACAGACTGCGCTGGGGAGTGAGCCTGGCAGCTGACATATGACTCTGGAAACGCTCTCGGTCTGTGCTAAGTTGGCAGCTCTGACACATAGCTGCTAAGGTCGTAATAAAAGGGAGAGTGACTAATGTTGAACTGGATACTATTGTTAAATCTGCTGCTGTAATTAAACACGAGCTATATTGGGATATACTCGGGGTCAGGTCAGACAAATGTCAGGACAACTTATTTGCCTTTTTACCTCTGGTGGTTATCTTTTTCCACTTTCAAAAGAGATGAATCTTCATTAGAAAGAACATCATGCAACGTCTATGAATTTTCACATTTTGAACATACAACACACATTAATCAACCTTTCTTAGATGTACCAGTGGTAACCAGCTGGCACGTTTTCAACCACAGTCCCTTGTCGAGGTGTTTTTAGTTATCTAGAGTAACACCATCCTGCTGCTGTACATTTACTAGACCAGGGGTTCCCAAAGTGGGGGTCGCGACCCCCCGAGTGAGTGTCGCGAGATGATTACAAAATAAAAGTGGAAAATAAAAAAAAAAGTTTTTTATACATAGACATTTTCAGGGGCAGACTAGTCATCTGTATAATTTCCCCGCAACGAGGCGAGTGCGGAAAGCTAAAATGAATTCACTTGCATCCCCCCCCCCC